TCGTCTTCTGTGGGTTTTATGGCAGACTACAACCCAAAAAGGTATATTACCGCCACATTGGACGGGGTTGACGGTGTTGAAAAAACCAAGGTAAAAATAAAACCCATACATGATAGGAAAAACTAACTTAATCCACCCAAAATAAAACAATTTAAAAAACACATTGACAAAACCAAAACCCTCTTCCTTCCTTCAAATCTCCATATCTCCCTTAGGACCCTTGGACTAAACACCTCCCTCTGCAACTGGATCCTGGACTTCCTGACGGGCTGCCCCCAGGTGGTAAGGGTAGGCAACAACACATCTGCAACGCTGATCCTCAACACGGGTGCCCCTCAGGGGTGCATGCTTAGTCCCCTCGTGTACTCCCTGTTCACCACAACTATATGGCCAAGTACGACTCCAACACCATCATTAAGGTTGCTGACGACACAACCGTGGTAGGCCTGATCACTGACAACAATGAGACAGCGTATAAGGAGGAGGTCAGAGACCTGGCAGTGTGGTGCTAGGCCAACAACCTCTCCCTCAACGTGAGCAAGACAAAGGAGCTGATCGTGGACTACATGAAAAGGAGGGCCGAACACGCCCCCATTCACATCGATGGGGCTGTAGTGGAGCGGGTCGAGAGTTTCAAGTTCCTTGGTGTCCACATCACCAACAAACTATCATGGTCCAAAGACACCAAGAAAGTTGTGAAGAGGACACGACAACACCTTTTCCCCCTCAGGAGACTGAAAATATTTGGCATAGGTCTCCAGATCCTCAAAAAGTTATACAGCTGCACCATCAAGAGCATCCTGACCGGTTGCATCACCGCCTGGTATGGCAACTGCTCGGCATCCGACCGTAAGGCACTACAGAGGGTAGTGCGTACGGCCCAGTACATCACTGGGGCCAAGCTTCCTGCCATCCAGGACCTATATACTAGGCGGTGTCAGAGGAAGGCCCAGGTCATAGACTGTTCTCTCTGATACCGCACGGCAAGTGGTACTGGAGAACCAAGTCTAGGTCCAAAAGGCTCCTTAACAGCTTCTGCCCCCAAGCCATAAGACTACTGAACAATTAATCAACAGCTTCTACCCCCCATGCTGCTACTCACTGTTTATTATCAATGCACTACCTCTACCTACATTTTTACATTTACATAATTTAGCAGACGCTCTTATCCAGAGCGACTTACAAATTGGTGCATTCAACTTATGATAACCAGTGGGACAACCACCTTTAATTTTTTTTATGGGGGGTGGGGGAATAAGGATTACTTAATACTATTCCAGGTATTCCTTAAAGAGGTAGGGTTTCAAGTGTCTCCGGAATGTGGTCAGTGACTCCGCTGTCCTGGCGTCGTGGGGGAGCTTGTTCCACCATTGGGGTGCCAGAGCAGTGAATAGCTTTGACTGGGCTGAGCGGGAACTGTGGTTCCGTAGAGGTAGGGGAGCTAGCAGGCCAGAGGTGGATGAACGTAGTGCCCTCGTTTGGGTGTAGGGTCTGATCAGAGCCTGAAGGTAAGGAGGTGCCGTTCCCCTCACAGCTCCGTAGGCAAGCACCATTGTCTTGTAGTAGATGCGAGCCTCAACTGGAAGCCAGTGGAGTGTGCGGAGGAGCGGGTGACATGAGAGAACTTGGGAAGGTTGAACACCAGACGGGCTGCAGCGTTCTGGATAAGTTGTAGGGGTTTAATGGAACAGGCAGGGAGCCCAGCCAACAGCGAGTTGCAGTAATCCAGACGGGAGATGACAAGTGCCTGGATTAGGACCTGTGCCGCTTTCTGTGTAAGTTAGGGTCGTACTCTGCGAATGTTGTAGAGCATGAACCTGCAGGATCGGGTCACCGCTTTTATGTTAGCGGAGAACGACAGGGTGTTGTCCAGGGTCACGCCAAGGTTCTTTGCACTCTGGGAGGAGGACACAATGGAGTTGTCAACCGTGATGGCGAGATCATGGAGTGGGCAGTCCTTCCCCGGGAGGAAGAGCAGCTCCGTCTTTTCGAGTTTCAGCTTGAGGTGGTGATCCGACATTCACACTGATATGTCTGCCAGACATGCAGAGATGCGATTCACCACCTGGTTATCAGAAGGGGGACGCAATCCAAGAGTGAGCAGCGCCGGAGATGCCCGACTCAGAGAGGGTGGAGAGGGTGGAGAGGAAGATCTGATGGTTCACAGTATCAAAGGCAGCAGATAGGTCTAGAAGGATAAGAGCAGAGGAGAGCAGTCTCAGTTGAATGACCAGTCTTGAAACCTGACTGGTTTGGATCAAGAAGGTCATTCTGAGAGAGATAGCAGGAGAGTTGGCTAGAGACGGCACACTCAAGAGTTTTGGAGAGAAAAGAAAGAAGGGATACTGGTCTGTAGTTGTTGACATTGGAGGGATCGAGTGTAGGTTTTTTGAGGAGGGGTGCAACTCTCGCTCTCTTGAAGAAGGAAGGGACATGGCCAGCGGTCAAGGATGAGTTGATGAGCGAGGTGAGGTAAGGGAGAAGGTCTCCGGGAATGGTCTGCAGAAGAGAGGAGGGGATAGGTTCAAGCGGGCAGGTTGTTGTCCAATTTGTAAGTCGCTCTGGATAAGAGCGTCTGCTAAATGACGTAAATGTAAATGTAAATGTTGTTGGGCGGCCGGCCGTCACAAGTTGCAAGATTTCATCTGGAGAGAGAGGGGAGAAAGAAGTCAAAGCATAGGGTAGGGCAGTGTGAGCTGGACCAGCGGTGTCATTTGACTTAATAAATGAGGATCGGATGTCATCAACCTTCTTTTCAAAATGGTTGACGAAGTCATCCACAGAGAGGGAGGAGGGAGGGGGAGGAGGAGGATTCAGCTGTCACGTCCTGACTCAGAGGACGTTTATATGTTGAGTCAGGGTGTGTATATTCCTTGTTGTGTTTGTCCATGTTGTACATTCTAGTATGTATAGATCTATGTTGGCCGGTGTGGTTCCCAATCTGAGGCAGCTGTCGCTCGTTGTCTCTGATTGGGGACCATACTTAGGCAGCCTATTGGCACTAGTTAGTTGTGGGATCTTGTTCCGTAAAGGTATGTTGTTTGTGTCTACCTTGGACTTCACGTTTCGTTTATTGTTTTGTCGTTGTGTTTAATAGTCAAATAAACATGTATGCATATCACGCTGCGACTTGGTCTGACCCGTTCATGAACGAACGTGACAGAAGATCCCACCAAACAAGGACCAAGCAGCGTGCCCAGGAAGAGCGAATTGCCATGTCACAGGTGGGCAAATTGTGGTCATGGGAAGAGATATTCGCGGGGAAAGGGCCATGGGCGAAGGTAGATGCCCATGCAGGAGAGGAGCAACGGCAACACGGAAGCCGCCCGAGAAGCAGCCCCAAGAACATTTTTGGGGGTGGCTAAAGGGGTGGTCGGGGAGCGTGAGAGAGAGCCCCGACCACTGCACCTTGGACCACTACCTTGGACTTCACGTTTCGTTTATTGTTTTGTTGTTGTGTTTAATAGTCAAATAAACATGTATGCATATCACGCTGCGCCTTGGTCTGACCCGTTCATTAACTAACGTGACATCAGCAGGGAGGAGAAGGTGGCGAAGAGCTTCCTAGGGTTAGAGGCAGAGGCTTGAAATTTAGAGTGGTAGAAAGTGGCTTTAGCAGCGGAAACAGAGGAAGAGAATGTAGAGAGGAGGGAGTGAAAAGATGACAGGTACGCAGGGAGTCTAGTTTTTCTCCATTTCCGCTCGGCTGCCCGGAGCCCTCTTCTGTGAGCTCGCAATGAGTCATCAAGTCACGGAGGAGGAGGGGAGGACCGAGCCGGCCGGGAGGATAGGGGACATAGAGAGTCAAAAGATGCAGAAACGGAGGAGAGGAGGGTTGAGGTGGCAGAATCAGGAGTTCGGAGGGAGAAGGATTTAGCAGAGGGAAGAGATGATAGGATGGAAGAGGAGAGAGTAGCGGGAGAGAGAGAGAGCGAAGGTTGCGACGGCACATTACCATCTGTACATGTACAAATTACCTCGACTAACCTGTACCCCTGCACATTGACTCGGTATTGTTATTTTATTGAGTTACTTTTTATTTAATTTTATTTAGTAAATATTTTCTTAACTCTATTTCTTGAATTGCATTGTTTGGTAAGGGCTTGTAAGTAAGCATTTCATGGTAAGGTCTACAGCTGTTATATTCGGCACATGTGACAAATAAAATGTGATTTGACTTGATTTGATCTTGGTTTAGTTTTTAAAATCTTGGTGTCCATGGTCCTAAACCCAGCCTGTGGTGTCCATTATCCTAAATCTAGCTGTCTGAAACCAGAAAACAGCCTACCAGACTGCGCTGAGGCGTCCACATGGTTCTAAAGTACACCAGTACCTCGCTTTGTATCACAGTGACAGCTTTCACTGTCCCTCCCAGTGAAAGTTGCGCCCCTGAACATATTATACTTCCATCTCGAGTTGTTGTTCCTTGGACAGAGTATCGTCTTCTGAGTCTGAGCTTGCAGAGAGGGTTAGGCATAGCAGTAATATCCGAGCAATTACCTGCTCGCTTTTGACACACCCACTCCTTTCCACACGCCCATACTCCGGTCGCCATATTGGGACGCAGCTACCCACTTCTCAAAATGGAAACATGAGAACGAAGTGATTTTGGATGCATGGCAACGCGAGACTAGGGACTAGGTGGGAGTGTATGCACCTCTTGGTTGGATGCGATCCACCAATACAATTTAAAGAAGAAGTGCGTACAGCAGTGCCGTGTTTTAGGGCATCATACACATGTTTTGCGCAGGTAGGCTGCCTAATAATAATTTATCTAGCTAGGTAAATTACCTTTGGAATGCCTTGGAAAACGGGCTTTTTTAATATTTGCAATACATCTTGCAGAGAAAGTTTGTTCACCAGTAACCTAACGTAGCAGGCGCAATAGAAACTGATTCGCTATCTGCACATTTCTTAATTTTGCTCATTGCGCTTGTCAATCTGCGCAGTGCTCAGCTCAGGCTGACCCTTGTGAACATGGCAAACGCCCCCTGCCATGTGATCAACTCAGGAAGTAAATTGTAGATAGAACTTGACCTAGACACATGCCATTCAAACTGAGTTCTTTCTATATTTATTCACATAATGCAACAAAATATGTAACCTATACACCAATAATTCAGTGTGACTTTGTGGGTATTGCTTGTTCAAATGGATATTAACTTGCTTTATTGGAAAAACGAGGGAAAGGTGAATATCCCATCCATCAACGTCTATGAGCAATGAATAACATACATCATTCCTGTAGTAAGCAACATTATGCATATTTGGAATGATTGTTGATCTGAAGTGTTGTTTCAATGCATGGACATTATTTTTCAGACGTTCCTCAGTCGACTACGCCTCTGGTTTAATATTCTTGACCCAAGTTCCTTGCTCAGCTCTGATGTGAGTACCCAGAAAATGTGACTTCTTATGAATTATTTCATTTTTTGTAAGCTCCACATGTGACTCGATTGTGGAGAGAACCGTTAGCTGAATTTGAACTAGCCCTTGAACTAGCTCATGACTCTCAGTTCCTTTACGTTCACACACGGCCATATTTCGATGTTACAGCGCTTGTTTACAGAATACAGCGAAGACCTGTGCTAATTAGCTATCTGTAGTGCTGAGCAATTAGTGCTTTTTGAGGTCGGTTCGATTATAAAAGAATAGTCATGGTTTTCGGTTTAGATTATTATTAATTTTTTTGCATTAAATGAATTGTGCATTATGTAGGTTGAATGCTGTAACAACACAGAATACAACAATTAATAAAAGACCCATGATGGTAGTGACTGCCCATCAGTGGTGGAAAAAGTACCCAATTGTCATACTTGAGGATAAAGTAAAGATACCTTAATAGAAAATGACTCAAGTAGAAGTGAAAGTCACTCAGTAAAATAGAACTTAAGTAAAGTCTAAAAGTATTTGGTTTTAAATATACTTAAGTATCAAAAGTAAATGTAATTGCTAAAATATACTTAAGTATCAAAAGTAAAAGTATAAATAATTAAAAGTTCTGTATATTAAGCAAACCACACGGCACCATTTTCAAGTTTTTATTTATTTACGAATAGCCAGGGGCACACGCCAACACTCAGACCATAATTTACAAATGAAGCATGTGTGTTTAGTGAGTCCGCCAGATCAGAGGCAGTAGGGATGACCGGAGATGTTTTTGGGTGTCAGGGAAAACGTATGGAGTAAGAAGTACATTATTTTCTTTAGGAATGTAGTGAAGTAAAAGTAGTCAAAAATATATAAATAGTAAAGGAAAGTACAGATACAAAAAAAAACTACTTAAGTAGTACTTTAAAGTATTTCTCCTTAGGTACTTTACACCATTGCTGCACATTACTGCTTATCACTTATTAACAATTATTTATTCACATTACTTTACTTTAATACAATTTCAGTTGTGTATATTACATTTGTTTTATTATTCAAAGTAAATATGGTATACTTTTATGACAGCTGAATACCAACTATCAATCACTTAGATAATGTATTTTCAGATACCTCGCAAAGCAACGGCTGCTCTAGATATCACCTCACGATCGCACATTCTTCTCTTCAGTAGCAGGCGTAAAATAAACACATAAAAAGAAAAGGAGAGCCGCACACTATGAGCTCAGATGCAATATTTTTGTAACCAACGTTTCGACAGCCAAGCTGTCTTCATCAGTCAAACACAAAAAGAAACACAGACCATACAAGTAGATGCGCAATGGAATATGCGCTACACTATGTAGAATATTGGCCTGTTGGAAACTACAACTCCCTTCTACATTGCACAGTTCAGGCTGGATCTGATTTATCTCTAGAGAAACGGCGATGTGCGGATTGAGCTCACAGAAAAAAACTGAATGAAGTGGAATTCACATAATTGAACCGACATCGGTTTAAAAAACGAAATTTCGGTTAATCCCTCAGCATTAGCTCTCTGCGTCTCCGAACACCTGTGTAAACCGGAAGACGGATGCCATAAACGTGTTGTTACTGAAAAATACTTTCGGCTGCAACTGTGTTAAAACCAATTATGTATATAAACCTTGGATTGCTGATTCTATGTTTTGGCCATAGAGGCCTTGAAGCCGCTCCTCAGAAGGGCAGTCATCCATACGAATGATTGGAATTCTACAGTATTTCATTTAAATGTTTCAAGGACAAAATTACATGTATATAAAAAAAATTGCTATGGGAAAATCGAGCTCTGAACCGCATAGCTGTGCGCCTCCCAAATTTTGTAACAATGCAGAGGGTTCCGTATAGCTCTGTATAGCTCCGCATTGACATGACTGGTTGACGGTAGGTGGGGGCGGGAGGTCCTCTATAAACACACTTACTTCCTTGACAACAGCTCTGCTCCGGGAAGCCAAGAAGTATGAATTCTCTGACTTCTGTGGAGGCCGCACCGCAATCCGACGTCTGCAGTTGCTGTACAGCATTTATTGCTATGCAGCCTCCTCAGAAGTCAGAGCATTCATACTTCTTGCGCTTTGCGGATTAGAGCTGTTGTCATGGTAATTGTCAAGGAAGTGAGTTTGTGTTTATACAGGACCTCGCGCCCCACCTACCGTCAACCAATCATGTCAATGCGGAGCTATACGGAGCCCTCCGCATTGTTACCAAATTTGGGAGGCGCACGGCGATGCGGTACGGAGCTGGATTTGGCCTCCACAGGCTCCGCAATTGTATCAACCCTCCGTACGGAGCCTCCGGATTGTATTGCCTGAGCAAGCATAAATTGGCTTTAAGCCTGTAGAGTAGACCAGTGGTTTTCAACTGGTGTGCTGCGGCACACTGGTGTGCCTTGAGGAAGTCTCAGAAAATGTATAATTTGCAGTATGGATCAGAAAAGTTTTTATCCCATCAAATTGTGCCACGGTTAAAAAAAGGTTGAAAACCACTAGAGTAGACTGTAGTAAACAGTTCACTCACACAGGAGGCCCCACTGTTTATGAGTCACATTTGGGGCTATGTCACAGATCTCTTTGGCTATGTGTTCTTGCTGCACAGACACTTTCAAGCACCATGATTTGTAGCTCAAAAAGGTGAAAAATGTATATTAAAATGAGGTTTATTTCTTTATTTCTCAGGCTGAAATAGAAAATGCCCACTCACTCATTGGAAGTGTGGAGAGAAAGCTGCATGATGAAAAGGTAAGCTAAAATTGCTAACAAGGTAAGATTTACAGTTTTTCTGTCATCATGGCAAATGTTTTCATTTGACACATTTTAAATCAAGTTCTGTTTCCTCTAGGCTGGAGATGCAGCATGGATGCTTTCTCTTGTAAGTGAGATACTACAACCAGCTAAATCTACAACCTGTACTAAATCTGGCTTGTACAGAAACAAACTGTCTGATATCCAGTCAGAGTGAATTGAAAAATTATAACATAATACATTATGGCATTTATTTTGATATCTTGCAAAGTTTTGATATCTCTGATTGTTTCTGCAGTCTTCTGTTCATGCTGGTACTGGTGCTATACTTCCAGCTGTTTTCCGTCCTCAAGGTACTATAGCATTAATCAAGTGAAATGTCTGATCGTAGCCTAGTTCTTTTCTCTGTGCTTTGTGTTACATTGGCTTTTGACTAGTCTTAGAAATCCCAGTCCTAGGGCAACAAACATGGGTAACATTGTGGGAGGCAGTCTGTCTAGAGCAGGGGTCTCCAACACTGTTCCTGGAGAGCTACCCTCCTGTAGGTTTTTGCTCCAACCCCAGTTGTAACTAACCTGGTTCATCTTATCAACCAGCTAATGATGTGCTAGATTAGGGTTGGAGTGAAAACCTACAGGACGGTTCTTCTCCAGGAACAGGGTTGGAGAGCCCTGGTCTAGAGAGACAAGCTTTTGACAGAAAATAACAAGCACCACAAAATCATGATAACTTTTAACGGCGTCTTTCATTTTTATAGCATTTTTACCAATATCAGCCCCTTTGGTAAGTGTTTACAATTTTATTTCATGGTGTATCACTTTTTACTGTAAATGTTTTATACATTTTTTTAAATAATCACTCTAAAACTCAGATAGCAATTGCAACTGGTGTATTTCAATTTCATGGTTATTTCAAATTAATTGATAGAATCTTGTATTCACCACACTGTAATGGTTGATTAACATACTTTTCATTTTCCTTCAGGTTGTTGCCAGCTTTTTGCCACACAGTGGAGTCAAACCGGCTCTATTCTGGCAGGTAAGGGACTTGCAGATGATCACATCAACTGATATAATCATAACCAAGTACCAGTGGAGGCTCCTCAGAGGAGGAAGGGGAGGACCATCCTCCTCACTGAATTTCATAAAAATATATTCACGTCACCAAATAATGTATTAAAACACACTGTTTTGCAATGAAGGTCTACAGTAGCCTCTACAGCACTCTGTAGGGTAGCACCATGGTGTATCCGGAGGACAGCTGGTTTCCGTCCTCCTCTGTGTACATTGACTTCAATACAAAACCTAGGAGGCTTATGGTTCTTACCCCCTTCCATAGACTTACGCAGTAATTATGACAACTTCCGGAGGACGTCCTCCAACCTATCAGAGCTCTTGCAGCATGAACTGACATTTTGTCCACACAATCAAAGGATCAGAGAATGAATCTAGTACTGAAAGCATAAGCTACAGCTAGCTAGCACTGCAGTGCATAAAATGTGATGAGTAGTTGACTCAAAAAGAGAGAAAGACAATAGTTGAACAGTTTTGTGTTTCTTTAAAAATGGAGAACCAAGAGAGAGAGAGCTAGCTCACAGAGAGTGACGCTATGTTAGCTAGCTGGCTATGGCTATCCAACACTGGAACTCTTCCAAGTCATGGTAAGCTTTTGGTTTTATGAATTATTGCCACCGGGGCCTGCCGGTGTAACTGCTAAACTGCTTGGTGACTGTACACTGTACTGCATGATTGTAGCGGGTTTACTAACACGTTAGTTCTAGTAGCTATATTGACTAGCTATGACGTTAGCTAATATGGTGACAACGATGTAGGCTGTGTGTAGCGGTTATGATATGAAGGTTTGGCTTGGAAAGGTTTTTTCGTCTGGTCAGCTGATGTGTTGTGCACTGAAGTCCACAAGCAAAGGGAAAAGGTGAGAGGAGGAGAGCGCGTAGATGCGAGAAGGAATTCTACAACGAGCAAAATTATCTTGCTGTTTATATGTGGCTGCTATGAAAGTGAACTGTGTTTGCGTTAGATCAGGGGTGTATTCATTCTGCCGATTCTTTTGAAAAACGTTTCTTAAATGGAAGCAAATGGAACAAAACGGGGATAAACATACCTGAATCTGTCCAATAGAAACTCTTGTTTGGAACTGTTGGACTAATGATTACACCCTTGATCAGCTAGATGCAGGCTAGAGTATGCAAGGCAGTTTTGAATGTGTCACTGTCTGTCACCTTGATTACTAAAATGTTTCTCTCCACCTGTGCACCTACGTTGTGAACTTTCATTCATAGGCTAGGTTGTTGCAAACTCATGATACAGTGAGGGAAAAAAGTATTTGATCCCCTGCTGATTTTGTACGTTTGCCCCCTGACAAAGAAATGATCAGTCTATAATTTTAATGGTAGGGTTATTTGAACAGTGAGAGACAGAATAACAACAAAAAAATCCAGAAAAACGCATGTCAAAAATGTTATAAATTGATTTGCATTTTAATGAGGGAAATAAGTATTTGACCCCCTCTCAATCAGAAAGATTTCTGGCTCACAGGTGTCTTTTATACAGGTAACGAGCTGAGATTAGGAGCACACTCTTAAAGGGAGTGCTCCTAATCTCAGTTTGTTACCTGTATAAAATACACCTGTCCACAGAAGCAATCAATCAATCAGATTCCAAACTCTCCACCATGGCCAAGACCAAAGAGCTCTCCAAGGATGTCAGGGACAAGATTGTAGACCTACACAAGGCTGGAATGGGCTACAAGACCATCGCCAAGCAGCTTGGTGAGAAGGTGACAACAGTTGGTGCGATTATTTGCAAATGGAAGAAACACAAAATAACTGTCATTCTCCCTCGGCCTGGGGCTCCATGCAAGATCTCACCTCGTGGAGTTGCAATGATCATGAGAACGGTGAGGAATCAGCCCAGAATTACACGGGAGGATCTTGTCAATGATCTCAAGGCAGCTGGGACCATAGTCGCCAAGAAAACAATTGGTAACACACTACGCCGTGAAGGACTGAAATCCTGCAGCGCCCGTAAGGTCCCCCTGCTCAAGAAAGCACATATACATGCCCGTCTGAAGTTTGCCAATGAACATCTGAATGATTCAGAGGAGAACTGGGTGAAAGTGTTGTGGTCAGATGAGACCAAAATTGAGCTCTTTGGCATCAACTCAACTCACCGTGTTTGGAGGAGGAGGAATGCTGCCTATGACCCCAAGAACACCATCCGTCAAACATGGAGGTGGAAACATTATGCTTTGGGGGTATTTTTCTGCTAAGGGGACAGGACAACTTTACCGCATCAAAGGGACGATGGACAGGGCCATGTACTGTCAAATCTTGGGTGAGAACCTCCTTCCCTCAGCCAGGGCATTGAAAATGGGTTGATGGGTATTCCATTTTTTTTTTGTTATTCTGTCTCTCACTGTTCAAATAAACCTACCATTAAAATTATAGACTGATCATTTCTTTATCAGTGGGCAAACGTACAAAATCAGCAGGGGATCAAATACTTTTTTCCCTCACTGTAGGTATAGGGGAAAATGTGAGTATCCTGTAGTAGCCTAAACCTATCAATGTTACATTGAGTTGCGTAAATTGAATATAAATGACAGTCATCCAATATGCTGTAATAGAAATAAGGCCATGCTCCTAAAAAAAAAACAAAAAAAAATGGCCTCACTCATCTTAAACGTCACCGACCGCCACTGCCTGGTACTCAATACTGTTCACTAATGAGATAAATATTTCTGTAGTTTTTGCTTCAGAGTTACAGCGCTGGATTCAATCATGCAAACAGAAACACATCTTCTGACAAGGTAAATGGATAAGAAATTAACTTATTTTCACCCAATTATATCTTCCCCCTTGCTGTGCCCTGTATTTTACTGGTGTTTTGTATGACGTCAGGGGATTAATGTATTTTCTCCATCAGGGGATTAAGACATCTTTGAAGCATGGTCTGTTGATTGTCGGATCAGTTGCATATGCAACATGTGCAGGGGTGAGTAATCACTACTGGGGAAAAAATGTAATGTATTTGGTTAATGAATTACTTGTCAAACAGAAGAGTAGATGATGGCTGTCAGAGGCTGTTTGATCATCAAGATGACACTAGGTTTGACTTTACCTGTTTCAGGCAATTCCTCAAATAGTCATACAGCGACTTAGCATGAGCAGCCCAGCTGTCCAGATGTTTTTTAGGTCCATATTACCAATTCCCCTCTCAGGTAAGTGCTAAGGATTTGAAAAACTATTTGCACTGAAAGTAAGTCTGATCTGGGACATCAGGATACCGTTACAAAGAATGATCAAAATACAAATTTTAGATTAACATTGTTACCATTTCTGTCCAGAATCAGTGCCCGAGTCTCTGACTCTGATTGTGTCTTATGAACAAAGTACTTGTTGATAGATTTATTGATCAAAGTGTGTTTGTTTCTGAAGCCATTATCCACATTTTTGGATAGGGTGGTGTTCCTTCTCTCAGATCTGTGCTTTATCCCATAGCCTCCCTGGCCTATTTCAATGTGGTCATTGTCAGAAGTGAGGAGTCCGAGAATGGAATCCAGGTGTTTGATTCCAATGGGAATTCTGTTGGAATCTCTCGGGCAGCTGGAGCAAAGGTGAGAGGAAAAAGTTACTGAAGTCAAATAAAAAGGCATCAGCAGGCTCTTAATATACCTTTGTTAATGATTGCTGACATGTTTCCTGGTTAGGCTGTGAAGGAGACTGCTCTCTCCAGAGCTGCTCTGTTAGGCACTACAGCTGCTGTTCCTAATCTTCTTATTTTCCTCTTGCAAAAGTAAGTCACTCGTCTTGTGCTGGGGCTGTATTTCCCACTATGACCTATTCAAGTCTTTGAGTACATTGTTACGATATCATAAGGTTAGCTAATCTGTTTATAAATAGTTGGTCAAACAGCTTTGTTAATATTGCCTATGATATGACTAATACAATATGTGCTTTAATCAAGCAACATCTAGCTTGAAATCAGAAAAATAATGATTTCTTTACCTAAAGCTATGAACAAATTGACCCTATTTTCTGTCATTTCAGGGCAAGGTTTCTGCAAAGGAGCCCCCTGCTGGTGGCTCCTATACGTCACATCAGCACTGCGATCGTCCTGGGCCTGATGATCCCCGTGTCCTTCAGTCTCTATCCACAGCTTGGAACAGTAGGACTTAGATACATTAAATTAATACTGCTTTTACTGTGCACTTCTTAAAACCCAATCAGACTGCAACTCAACATTTTATTCTTCTGCTTTACAGATCAAAAAGGAAAAGCTGGAAAAAGAATTACAGACTGCAGCTGTAAGTGGTGAACTATTCTACCACAGGGGGCTCTGAGGCACCAGCAAACAAATTCTGCAGACTGCAATGTGGGAGCAGGAACACTTCATTGAGTGGGCATCACAAGAAGCAACCTTTTCAAGGCCACGGGATGCAGTTTATGGAATATGCACTGTTGCTTCATACACAAGGATGATGAATTGAGTCATTATTAATTACAAATTGATAAAGGACAGTCCATGTTTCGATTCAGTTGAATTTAATAGTTGCAACTTGTAAGTGGATGTAAATTAACAATGCACTGCAAATGAATTGTAACCGTGAGTTTGTATAGCAAACAATGCCCTTCCTCGTACAGCTTTTTACAGTTCACATTAGTGATTTGGTTTGCAAGCTTGATCTTACAAAAAAATATAAATAATAGAGAGTAACCATTATTTATTTGTTAAACATTTATAAGTAAAAATAAAATAACTTATGGATTTTCTTGATGGCACAGATACTTACATGCATTTTTAGAACAAATAGGATATTACAGAAATTTAAGAAAATAGATAGTTGAATCTCCTAAAACTAGATGAGGACATACACTACCGGTCAAAAGTTTTAGAACACCTACTCATTCAAGGGTTTTTCTTTATTTTTACTATTTTCTAAATTGTAGAATAATAGTGAAGACATCAAAACTATGAAATAACACATATGGAATCATATAGTAATCAAAAAAGTGTTACAAAATTCAAAATATATTTTATATTTGAGATTCTTCAAATAGCCACCCTTTGGCTTGATGACAGCTTTGCACACTCTTGGCATTCTCTCAACCAGCTTCACCTGGAATGCTTTTCCAACAGTCTTGAAGGAGTTCCCACATATGCTGAGCACTTGTTGGCTGCTTTTCCTTCTCTGCGGTGCGACTCATCCCAAACCATCTCAATTGGGTTGAGGTCAGGTGATTGTGGAGGCCAGGTCATCTGATGCAGCACTCCATCACTCTCCTTCTTGGTAAACTAGCCCTTACACAGCCTGGAGGTGTGTTGGGTCATTGTCCTGTTGAAAAACAAATTATAGTCCCACTAAGCCCAAACAAGACGGCATGGCGTATCACTGCAGAATGCTGTGGTAGCCATGCTGGTTAAGTGTGCCTTGAATTCTAAATAAATCACAGACCATGTCACCAGTAAAGCACCCCCACACCATAACACCTCCTCCTCTGTGCTTTACGGTGGGAAATACACATGCAGAGATCATCCATTCACCCACACCGCGTCTCACAAAGACACGGCGGTTGGAACCAAAAATCTCAAATTTGGTCTCCAGACCAAAGGACACATTTCCACCGGTCTAATGTCCATTGTTTGTGTTTCTTGGCCCAAGCAAGTCTCTTCTTCTTATTGGTGTCCTTTCGTAGTGGTTTCTTTGCAGCAATTCAACCATGAAGGCCTGATTCACACAGTCTCCTCTGAACAGTTGATGTTGAGATGTGTCTGTTACTTGAACTCTGTGAAGCATTTATTTGGGCTGCCATTTCTGAGGCTGGTAACTCTAATGAACTTATGCTCCGCAGCAGAGGTAACTCTGGGTCTTCCATTCCTGTGGCGGTCCTCATGAGAGCCAGTTTCATCATAGCGCTTTATTGTTTTTGCCTCTGCACTTGAAGAAACCTTCAAAGTTCATGACATTTTCGGTGTTGACTGACCTTCATGTCTTAAAGTAATGATGGACTGTCATTTCTCTTTGCTTATTTGAGCTGTTCTTGACATAATATGGACTTGGTCATTTATCAAATAGGGATATATTCTGTATACTCCTCCTACCTTGTCACAACACAACTGATTGGCACAAATCCATTAAGAAATTCCACAAATTAACTTTTAAGAAGGCACACTTGTTAATTGAAATGCATTCCAGGTGACTACCTCATGAAGCTGGTTGAGAGAATGCCAAGAGTGTGCAAAGCTGTCATCAAGGCGAAGGGTGGCTATTTGAAGAATCTCAAATATAAAATATATTTTGAATTGTTTAACACTTGTTTGATTACTATATGATTCCATATGTGTTATTTCATAGTTTTGTTGCCTTCACTATTTTTCTACAATTTAGAAAATAGTAAAAATAAAGAAAAACCCTTGAATTAGTAGGTGTTCTAAAACTTTTGACCGGTAGTGTACATATTGCACGCAACGTTAGTGTCTCATTTAATCTATTCAGGCACAAAGACAAGCCTTTGAGAACAAGGGTAGAATTGACCAAGAAGTCAAACAAATGTCAATAAATATCAATAAAAAGGTCATAATATTACAGTAACAAATAGGTATGCAACATCATTTGACATAATGGTCACATGAAAACAAAAAGTCTATCCAGTAACTAACAATAGCTGACAGCTTTCCAGGGAGGACAGATATCCGTTATGCCTCCACCCTTGGCAATCGGTCTACTGCTTATCAAACTGAGGACACAAGGCTAATTTTTTTATCAGTTCTCCCTCTCATCTGACCAACACCCAAACATATGAGAAATTCCTTATATTGCAATATCCAAAGATATTAGTTCAATTTTGGCACTTTATTAATAAGAATCGACAACACATTGTTAAGATAATTGATTAAAATGATATTTACAATAACATGAAACTACATATTTGTCATGCATCTCTTACTGTAATTCTGAAATCTAAATAAATCATGGTTCTTGAGACTTCAAATTAATCTGTTAACAGTCTTAAAATAAACAATTGGATTGCTGAACTATATAATGCTAGGGCTACGTGATTTATTAGACAGTTTACGACACTGCAGTGCTTATATTCACAGCCAATACATTCTGCACCTGGGGAACAAGACAACCATGCTCTCACTTGTTCATATAACAGTAAGACAAAGTAACTACAACCAAACACTGTTACATCATGAGTGTTCAATGGATTAGCCCTATTTCACATATTGCCCATAGCACCATTATCATTTTAGGTAACTGTTGTATTATTGTCAAAACAAGACTTTACAATAAAGAAAATGTATATCAATTTTTATTATGACAAGTAGGCTTTTAGTATTGTTAAGAGTCAGGAAGGCAATAGTGTGTGATACCCAACACCTGAGTTATTCCCATTCACCATAACCATTAAAATGTCACTGTGGCATTTTTGTGGTTTCAATTCCCACAATATGGATCAATATGGGGACAAAATGTATGAAATTTGGCCACTCATCAAACTAAGCTGGCATACAACAACACAACAACTGAATTTGATTAAACTGACATCAAACATCTATAGCAGGTAGCTACAGTACATTATACTAGTTGTGTAGTATAAAAGTACATTTTGGCATTTTGGCGACTGTTGTCCCCACAATAAACCAAATCAAAACCTTATTGAATGCAAGGGCATGGTTCTTTCTTACTGCAACATACAGTGCATTCAGAAAGTATTCAGACCCCTTGACTTTTTCCATGTTTTGTTACGTTACAGCCTTATTTTAAAATTGGTTAGATTATTTATGTTTCTCATCAGTCTACACACAATACCCCATAATGACAAAGCCAAAACAGGTTTTTAGAAATGTTTGCAAGTTTACTAAAAATAAAAAACAGAAATACCTTATTTACATAATTATTCAGACCCTTTGCTATGAGACTCAAAATTGAGCTCTGGTGCATCCTGTTTCCATTGATCATCCTTGAGATGTTTCTACAATCTGATGTCCACCTGTGGTAAATTCAATTTGAGGACATGATTTGGAAAGGCACGCACCTGTCTATATAAGGTCCCACAGTTGACAGTGCATGTCAGAGCAAAAACCAAGCCATGAGGTCGAAGGAATTGTCCGTAGAGCTCCGAGACAGGATTGTGTCGAGGCACAGATCTGGGGAAGGGTACCAAAAAATGTCTGCAGCATTGAAGGTCCCCAAGAACACAGTGGCCTCCATCATTCTTAAATGGAAGAAGTTTGGAACCACCAAGACTCTTCCTAGAGCTGTCCGCCCGGCCAAACTGAGCAATCGGGAGAGAAGGGCCTTGGTCAGGGAGGTGACCAAGAACCCGATGGTCACTCTGAGAGAGCTCCAGAGTTCCTCTGTGGAGATGGGAGAACCTTCCAGAAGGACAACCATCTGGAAGAGTGCCCAGACGGAAGCCACTCCTCAGTAAAAGGCACATGACAGCCCGCTTGGAGTTTGCCAAAAGGCACCTAAAGACTCTCAGGCCATGAGAAACAAGATTCTCTGGTCTGATGAAACCAAGATTGAACTCTTTGGCCTGAATGCAAAGCGTCACGTCTGGAGGAAACCTGGCACCATCCCTACGATGAAGCATGGTGGTGGCAACATCATGCTGTGGGGATGTTTTTCAGCGGCAGGGACTGGGAGACTAGTCAGGATCAAGGGAAAGATGAACGGAGCAAAGTACAGAGAGATCCTTGATGAAAACCTGCTCCAGAGCGCTCAGGACCTCAGACTGGGGCGAAGGTTCACCTTCCAACAGGACAATGACCCTAAGCACACAGCCAAGACAAGTCTCTGAATGTCCTTGAGTGGCCCAGCCAGAGCCCGGACTTGAACTCGATCGACCTGTCAGAGCTTGAGAGGATCTGCAGAGAAGAATGGGAGAAACTCCTCAAATACAGGTGTGCCAAGCTTGTAGTGTCATACCCAAGAAGACTCAAGGCTGTAATCGCTGCCAAAGGTGCTTCAACAAAGTACTGAGTAAAGGGTCTGAATACTTATGTAAATGTTATTTCAGTTTTTTATTTTTAATACATTGCAAAAATGTCTAAAAACCAGTTTTTGCTTTGTCATTATGGGTTATTGTATGTAGATTGATGGGAAAAAAATGATTTAATCAATTTCAGAATAAGGCTGTAACGTAACAAAATGTGGAAAAAGTCAAGGGGTCTGAATACTTTCCGAATGCACTGTATGTATAATTACATAGATGAATGCCCATGCTAATATTCAGAGTGACCTCACAACAGATGATGTAGGAGGTCAAGGGTCATATCTTGAGGAGCTGCTCAGCAGCTGCCAAGTGGAACAAGAAGTTCTCGGTAGCAGGCGGGAAGTGACGCTGCTTTAAGGTCTCCAGGGTGATTTTTGAGTTCTCACACTCCTCAGCTAAGGACGCCAGGTTAGCAAGGATCTCCCTCGTCTTTATGGAAATGTCCTGGAAAATGTCATAGCAAACAGACAACTTTTTTAAAGATTGTGCTAAATACCTGAATACCTATAATGTATTACATTTCTATAACACTTCATTACAAGTATAATCTCAATGTGTATAAAACACTAAGTCTTTGAATAGACATCCCACATATCTTCTCTGATCACAGAAGGCTGAATGGTATGGATGTCATGCATGCTTTCAACTCACCTTGATAACCTGCCCATCTGTTCTATCAGCATCCTCTGCAGACTGGACAATGACGAGGCCAATGTCTTTGTGCAACTTTCCCATAGCCATGGCCTCTGTGGTAGAGTGGTAGAGACGTCATAGTGTTTAAGAAATGGTGGATGCTTGCATTGGAATATCGAGGGAAGACTTGGTAGCAAAGTTTATCTTCCTTCAGTTACCTTTTTTCTTTTTTTTAAACAGCATTCGTCCCTTTGTCTTCTACACTTATAGGAATAATATTATAATTGTGACACCCACCTTTGGCACTCTGGGATACAGTGATCTCACTATCTGGGAGGTTTACATACACATCAAACAAGTCCGATCTGTTGCTCACTTGTGGGTCAACAAATCCTGCGACATATCCTGCAGAGACAATGAGCATATGGGTGAATGCAGATGGTGGGTACTCAAACTGAACACTAGGTTCAAAATCTCCAAGGAACTTCTTTATGAACAACATACAGTTGAAGTCGGAAGTTTACATACACTTAGGTTGGAGTCATTAAAACTTGTTTTTCAACCACTCCACAAATGTCTTGTTAACAAACTATAGTTTTGGCAAGTCGGTTAGGACATCTACTTTGTGCATGACATAAGTCATTTTTCCAACAATTGTTTACAGAGAGATTATTTCACTTATAATTCACTGTATCACAATTCCAGTGGGTCAGAAGTTTACATACACTAAGTTGACTGTGCCTTTAAACAGCTTGGAAAATTCCAGAAAATGATGTCATGGCTTTAGAAGCTTCTGATAGGCTAATTGACATCATTTGAGTCAATTGGAGGTGTACCTGTGGATGTATTTCAAGGCCTACCTTCAAACCCAGTGCCTCTTTGCTTGACATCATGGGAAAATCAAAAGGAATCAGCCAAGGCCTTTAGAAAAAAAAATGGTAGACCTCCACAAGTCTGGTTCATCCTTGGGAGCAATTTCCAAACGCCTGAAGGTACCACGTTCATCTGTACAAACAATAGTACGCAAGTATAAACACCATGGGACCACGCAGCCGTCATACCGCTCAGGAAGGAGAAAAGTCCAAATCAATCCCAGAACAACAGCAAAGGACCTTGTGAAGATGCTGGAGGAAACAGGTACAAAAGTATCTATATCCACAGTAAAACGAGTCCTATATCGACATAACCTGAAAGGCCGCTCAGCAAGGAAAAAGCCACAGCTCCAAAACCGCCATAAAAAAGTCAGACTACGGTTTGCAACTGCACATGGAGACAAAGATCGTACTTTTTGGAGAAATGTCCTCTGGTCTGATTAAACAAAAATATAACTGTTTGGCCATAATGACCATTGTTATGTTTGGAGGAAAAAGGTGGATGTTTGCAAGCCGAAGAACACCATCCCAACCGTGAAGCACGGGGGTGGCAGCATCATGCTGTGGGGGTGCTTTGCTGCAGGAGGGACTGGTGCACTTTACAAAATAGATGGCATCATGAGGAAGGAAAATTATGTGGATATATTGAAGCAACATCTCAAGACATCAGTCAGGAAGTTAAAGCTTGGTCGCAAATGGGTCTTCCAAATGGACAATGACCCCAAGCATACTTCCAAAGTTGTGGCAAAATGGCTTAAGGACAACAAAGTCAAGGTATTGGAGTGGCCATCACAAAGCCCTGACCTCAATCCTATAGAAAAAATGTGGGCAGAACTAAAAAAGTGTGTACGAGCAAGGAGGCCTACAAGCTTGACTCAGTTACACCAGCTCTGTCAGGAGGAATGGAAAATTCACCCAACTTATTGTGGGAAGCTTGTGGAAGGCTACCCGAAACGTTTGACCCAAGTTAAACAATTTAAAAGCAATGCTACCAAATACTAATTCAGTGTATTTAAAACTTCTGACCCACTAGGAATGTGATGAAAGAAATAAAAGCTGAAATAAATAATTCTCTCTACAATTATTCTGACATTTCACATTCTTAAAATAAAGTGGTGATCCTAACTGACCGAAGACAGGGAATTTTTACTAGGATTAAATGTCAGTAATTGTGAAAAACTGAGTTTAAATGTATTTGGCTAAGGTGTATGTAAACTTCCGACTTCAACTGTACATGTAAATGAATGTAAGTCAATTATTGCATGAGTCTTCCTGTGTGTGTGCGTTCCTGTGTCTGTCAGAGAATAACAGACTGTTGGGACACAATGGGGCTCCGTTCAATATCTGGGTTATGTTCATTCGGAAATGCAAAAGGAAAACATTTTAAAATGTTTTGCAACAGCAAATGAAAATATCCTATTGGACAGGTCCAGTAAGTCCCTCCGTTACAGTCAATGTTCTTTCCTTTGGTGTTTAATGTACACACCCAAGTCTGAATCAGTTTGCTGTAATGTGGATCTAATGAACCAGACATCCTCACCAGTGCATGTCCTGAGATTCTCTAGCTCACTGTCAGTCAGGTGGACATAAGGGTGCAGAATGGACCAGTCTTTCCTGTGCCATGTCAGAGCTGGAAGAGCTCTGGGGGGAGGGGAATAAAATGAAATCATACATTTAATATAATGATTATAATGTTCCCTCAGAAAATTGTATTGTAATCCACTTCTACAATGAAGTCCATGAACAGTCAGAGGTTTGGTCGGATTAGACTATATTGAAAATTCTACATTTCCGTAGTTTTTGGCCTACCGTAATGTAACAATTATGACCGTCAAGACTCAAACCATAACTGCATTTTCTTTATTGCCTTAGTCACCTTGTGAACTCCAACAGTGCTTCAATCCGAGGGTGATGGACCACAATCCTCTTCTTTAGCATAAGGGCTGTGTACAGGATGATGGTCTCCATCCCAAACTGGGACACCACATCTGAAACCGTAATCACAAGATAGTCTACCTAATCCTGGAAATCAAATGGTATCAGCTTCTTCATGGACATGCTTCTTTGCATGCCATTAAGATATCTTGACAGTGTCAAGCACCTTGTATCAACAATCATTTCCTTATACTGTAATAACTGTTTTAAGTACACGTTTTACCTTTCACTGAGCCTGCTAAGTACGCCTTCCTGACATTGTAGTCCTTGACGAGAAAGGAGCCATTCTCATCACTCTGGCAGATGCCTTTGGTGAGGACTGCAATGTAACCCTCCATCATTTTCACTGGGCTCCCATGTTTGATGTACATCCTGAATGATAAAATACACATGAAGAAATTCATTTTTGGGAAGTATTAAATAAGCAGACATTTAGCCATGGGGATGCATTAGTGTAGTATGTTGTACCTGCATAGTACTCGACTGAATGCTGCATACTTCTCAGGGTTGAAGTCCTTTGCTGTGACAACTATCGAAAAATGTGTGACCTAAAGAGAGAGAAATATGAGCCATATAATAGAACGTATAATCATTAGGCCTACAAGTTACAGTTCTTTCAATGAATGGAGAATTTCTAAACTAACTGTACCTTCTTTAGGGTGGTGGGTTCCTGCACCTCTACAGTGGATATGTAGTACCAGGTACGGCAGAACTGGCCGAACACAAAGGTGTTCAGGCCCTGGCTGTCCTGTGTGAGACAGCACTTACTGAGCAGGACCTCTCGGAGCTCAGCACTGACTGAGGGATAGCACCACACCCACAAGGTGTCTGCATTCAAGTCTTTCTCTGTGTGGGGGAAGAATAGTGGTATACTATGTCATATTGCTTTCACAACTCATTATTACCAGTATATATTTAACTAAATTAAATTGAACTGTTCTCATGATTTACAGGAAGTCAAATACTTGATCACGTTAATATCATGTGGTGCCAGTCAAAGCCAAACAGGAGCAAATTTGGCATGCATCAACCAGCAGGATAACATAATTACAACAAGGGAATGATATTCTGTGTCTTGCCTTACCAATTAATCCAATGCTTAGCATGAGCTGAGTTTCTGGTGCCGCCATATCCCATCACAATTCAGTCGTAAACTGTGGGAGTTGACAATTAGGGACTCAGGATAGCTTATCTTAGGACAAGGAAGCAACACTTTCACCAAACAAGTAGGCCGACGTAAAATTAGTTTTATATTGGATATTCAGCTTTCTCTAGTCAATAGCTATTGAACCAAGCATGCCATGACTATAAAGATGGTACAGTATATTCTGAATCAGGGTTGGATGGAGAAAAAGCTGAAATGTCTATAAAAAAATAACGTGGATTTTTGTCCATCCTCCCCCGATTCAGAATATATAATTTTCATAGAGCTTGCCAGCTTGTAGTCCTAAAACCTGGAAATAAGTGACCTCTGGTTCGTTCAGAGTCAGTTTTGGAATAAATAAGGTCTGAGGTTACACAGGCTTAAGGCGTCAGCATGCTTCAGTTCGGCTGGCGGCATAGCTGAAGTCGACTAGGCGAAACCGAACAAATGTGCTCGCATACTCCCTTAAAAAGACCTTCGCTTGAAAAACAAGAAAAAAGTAGCAATAGTACTCTTTGACCATTTTGAAACGCCGTGGCCTCAAAATAGTCAGAACTAAATCTAATAGAACTCAAGAAATCTGTCATTAATTTTGACGTTTTTGCCAAAGAGATCTTAGTCATGCAATTTTACATCTAACTAGGATGCTTGGTGCAGTATTTTTCAATTTAAAAATGTGCATGGCCTCCCGAGCGGCGCAGTGGTCTAAGGCACTGCATCGCAGTGCTTGAGATGTCACTACAGACCTGGGTTCGATATCACAACTGGCCATGATACGGAGTCCCATAGGGCTGTGCACAATTGGCCCAGCGTCGTCCAGGTTAGGGGAGGGTTTGGCCGGGGGGGCTTTACTCGGCTTATCGCGCTCTAGCGACTTCTTGTGGCGGGCTGGGCGCCTGCAGGCTGACCTCGGTCATCAGTTGAACAGCGTTTCCTCCGACACATTGGTGCGGCTGGCTTCCGGGTTAAGTGGGCGGGTGTTAAGAAGCTCGGTTTGGCGGGTCATGTTTCAGAGGACACATGACTCGACCTTTGCCTCCCGAGCCAGTTGGGGAGTTGCAGCAATGAGACAAGATCGAAAAAGGGAGTAAAAATGTATATAGAGTACCAGTCAAATGTTTGGACACACCTACTCATTCCACGGTTTTTCTTTATTTTTACTATTTTGTACATTGTAGAATAATAATGAAGACATCAAAACTATGAAATAACACATATGGAATCATGTAGTAAGCAAAAAAGTGTTAAACAAATCAAAATATATTTTATATTTGAGATTCTTCAAATAGCCACCCTTTGCCTTGATGCCAGCTTTGCGCACTCTTGGCATTCTCTCAACCAGCTTCACCTGGAATGCTTTTCAAACAGTCTTGAAGGAGTTCCCACATATGGTGAGCACTTGTTGGCTGCTTTTCCTTCACTCTGCGGTGCGACTCATCCCAAACCATCTCAATTGGGTGGAGGTCGGGGATTGTGGAGGCCAGGTCATCTGATGCAGCACTCCAACACTCTCCTTCTTGGTAAAATAGCCCTTACACAGCCTGGAGGTGTGTTGGGTCATTGTCCTGTTGAAAAACAAATGATAGTCCCACTAAGCCCAAACCAGGTGGGATGGCGTATCACTGCAGAATGTTGTGGTAGCCATGCTGGTTAAGTGTGCCTTGAATTCTAAATAAATCACAGACAGTGTCACCAGCAAAGCACCCCCACACCATAACACCTCCTCCTCCTCCTCCTCCATGCTTTACGATGGGAAATACACATGAGGAGATCATCCATTCACCCACAACGCATCTCACAAAGACACGGTGGTTGGAAACAAAAATCTCCAATTTGGACTCCAGACCATATGACAAATTTCCACCGGTCTAATGTCCATTGCTCGCGTTTCTTGGCCCAAGCAAGTATTTTCTTCTTATTGGTGTCCTTTAGTAGTGGTTTCTTTGCAGCAATTCGACCATGAAGGCCTGATTCACAGTCTCCTCTGAACAGTTGATGTTGAGATGTGTCTGTTACTTGAACTCTGTGAAGCATTTATTTGGGCTGCAATTTCTGAGGCTGGTAACTCTAATGAACTTATCCTCTGCAGCAGAGGTAACTCTGGGTCTTCCATTCCTGTGGCAGTCCTCATGAGAGCCAGTTTCATCATAGCGCTTGATGGTTTTTGCGACTGCACTTGAAGAAATTTTCAAAGTTCCGTGTTGACTGACCTTCATGTCTTAAAGTAATGTTCTTGCCATAATATGGACTTGGTCTTTTACTAAATAGGGCTATCTTCTGTATATCCCCCTACCTTGTCACAACACAACTGATTGGCTCAAACATATTAAGAAGGAAAGAAATTCCACAAATTAACTTTTAACAACATATACCTGTTAATTGAAATGCATTACAGGTGACTACCTCATGAAGCTGGTTGAGAGCATGCCAAGAGTGTGCAAAACTGTCATCAAGGCAAAGGGTGGCTATTTGAAGAATCTAAAATATATTTTGATTTGTTTAACACTTTTCTGGTTACTACATGATTCCATATGTGTTATTTCATAGTGTTGATGTCTTCACTATTATTCTATAATGTAAAAATAGTAAAAATAAAGAAAAACCCTTGAATGAGTAGGTGTGTCCAAACTTTTGAATGGTACTGTATGCACAAACTCTTCCAAATTGTTTTGGCTGGGAAGCATGCGGACGCCTTTAGGAGATCTTATAGGTTTTGTTCTATGAGATAATAGCAGTCAGTTAACATGACCTTCATGAATTATGAAGCCTTTTTTTATTATTACTTAAATTCTTCAAGATTCACAAAAAGTGATGTTAGCTGATGAAGACTATCTCATAGAACAAAACGCATAAGATCTCCCAAGCCTGTGTTTACCACAGACCTTATTTTCGGAGTTTATCCAGAAACTGCATTCATTTTCCTCATAGGCTTTGTCCAACGAACCATGGCGGAGTTAGTGAGTACAAAAAGACGCCATTACTATTTCTATAGTCATGGCATGCTTGGGTCAATAGCTATTGATGAGAGAAAACCGAATCTTACCTAATATCCAATATAAAACCAATTTTTACCTCGGTAGGTCACAGGGGTGTATTCACTATGTACTGCAACGGAAACCGTTTTCCGTTTAACAACCAAACAGAACGAAACGGGGAGATACCTTCCTGAATTTGTCCAATAGAAACTCTCGTTATCGTTGCAATACGACAGAATCTGCGCAATCAATACACACCATATGTTCCTGACTGTTTGGAGATAATGTGGGTGTGTTCGTAAATTACATTTGGAGTGCCATAGTGCTCTCCTAAATTTAGAGCATTGTCAGATTGTCCGTTCGTAAATTCAGAGCGCACACTGGACACTCTGGCCGAGGAGTAGCATTGATCCGTGTGTTCTGACCTCACAACGGCAGTCAAGCACCCAAGCTAACGTTGGCTAGCTTGCTAGCCACTCCCAGACACAAATGAGAGAACAGCTCACTCTGACCATTTTACTCGCCCTAGCAGAGCTGGTTAGACTGTTTTCATGTTATCCAGAGCGTTGGTGACTAACTGTGCTGCTGGCAACAATTTAATTACGCTTTTTTTGCCGACGTTTACTGACACCGGCCATATTCAAGGGGTGTTGAGCGTTCGTAAATTCAGTGCTCTGGCACACTCAGACGAGAGCGCTCTGAAATCGGAGTAGATAACCAGAGTGAATTTACGAACGCACCCTAAACCCCTCATCGTTCTATCTGTGGTGACGTTTTCATCGAAAACACGGAAGTGGGGTACGGAAGCAATCTTTCACCAGGTTGCCACTAGTTATCACAGCCACAAACGTAAAGTCAGGCCTCAACACAGATAGAACAATGGTTTAGTTATAAAAACATCTGGTATTTGGTTAGCAGTGTGGTTAAGGTTAGGTTTAAAATCTGAGTTTAAGAAGGGAAATTGTAGAAATAGGCGGGGTTTATGACTGTGCCAAGCATGAATTTAAGCAATAACGACACACATAGTCATTGTTTACTTTTTTTTTTGTATAACTGGATTATAACTCCCGTCCAAATGTCGTGAATTATATTCACGTCATCATGGTCACCTCTATTATACTCAACAGTTACTAGCGATGGCTAGCTATTCTACCAGTCTGCCTTAATGAGTGTTAGCACGCTAGTGTATAGCACGCAAACATTTTATTTTATAAGGGTATGCATTAGGTTGATAACGAGATCACCTAAGTATGTTGTATCGGACATTTCAGACAACATTCCCAGCTAATGAGAAAACAGTAATGGTATGTGTTAATGAGAATGAACAAGATTGAACAAAGCAACTTGGGGGTTATGTCTGGGCGCCAACGGCAGATTGAGGGATTTTTACATCCGAGGGACTATGGGATGAACAAGAGAGCAAAAACTCTGATAAAACATTTTCACTAGCTCTATCAAGTTAAGAGATTATACTATACGAGTTTTTCCTCAACTCCTCGATGTACCACCGACAGTTTCCTACGTGTGAGTCGTGAACAACATTAACGTGCGCAACAATGGTGAAATCAACGGTTCTACTTCAAAATAAATGTCCCAATTGAAACGGATAAAAAGTGGCATCAAGCCACAATTGGACTAGATAATGCTAAGATTGGAATGTTGTTATGTAAATTAAGCAAAATACAATTATTAGTTAATTTTACCAGAAAAAGTACAAATCAGTTGAAATTGCACAGTTGACGTATTTGAATTCAGACATGCATTGGGAGTATACTTACAGTGGGGAGAACAAGTATTTGATACACTGCCGATTTTGCAGGTTTTCCTACTTACAAAGCATGTAGAGGTCTGTAATTTTTATCATAGGTACACTTCAACTGTGAGAGACGGAATCTAAAACAAAAATCCAGAAAATCACATTGTATGATTTTTAAGTAATTAATTTGCATTTTATTGCATGACATGAGTATTTGATCACCTAACAACCAGTAAGAATTCCGGCTCTCACAGACCTGTTAGTTTTTCTTTAAGAAGCCCTCCTGTTCTCCACTCATTACCTGTATTAACTGC